AGGGAACTTCCAAATATTTTTAAATTGACATCCTGTTGGCGTATGAGTGGTGTATTTAAGGTCATTTCTTGCCCCAGAACGGATTGATTGTATACATATACAGCTGGGGAAAGTAAAACGGAAACAAAGAGCACAGAATAACAAAGGCAGTCAGGTCTACCAATAATGCATATAACAGGTTACTTTATGATATTCTGCCCGTGTTATTCAAAATATTCAAGGTTACCAATGACGATGTTAGTGTAAAGTAACTGAATGTAGCGAGGTTTGATCAGTGGGGTGAGTAATAAAAAGATAGAGCTTTTAAAATTCCTATAATCTCACCTGTGTAATGGGATATGTTTACGGGTGTAAGTCACTTAAGGTATTATTAGAGAGGATGTAATTATCGCTGCAGCAAACAAAGGATTGGAGTGATTTTGTTTCACCGATAGATTGTGGTAAATTATTCTGGAATCTGAGAAGTTTACTGGAAAAGCAATTCATATGGAGAAAAGATTTAGAATGTGATTGTTTCAATAATGAGAATGAGTTACACATGCTGTAACTATAAGTTTCTGAATATTTAATTGCATCATTGGATGTATAAAATAATTTATTCATTATTTTGAAAAAGATTATATTCAGTATGAATCCCCTCTTCTATAATACGTTGACTCCAAGTTTATCAGATCTGAACTCATAATTTAAGGTACAGTCAGTCACAATAATGATAAGCGTAAATCGTCTCTGAACATATTCCAGCCCTATTTTATCTTTTACGTGAATGATACTAATAATAAACATTCTGTATTCTAGATGTGATCGAATACAAACATTTGCACCAAAACACGTGACTCGCTGTTGTAGAGGTTACAAATGATTCAACCCAGAAGACCTTGAGATTTGAAGGTCTGTTTCGAGATCTGTTCAGGAAAACCTGAGCTTCAAGTCCACTTATGAATGAAACTTGAATAATGCCTTACCATTTATGGTTAGATCTAAGTTAAGCGATGTATTATCAAAGCATATGCAGCCACACCAAATTGTGTTAATCTCCAACTGCCATTTTGATTACCATTGGTTGACTTTGTTAAGCTTCATACTGATGCGATTTCTCATATTATTTGAATGATGAAGAGAAGATGAATACACTAATTTAAGGTCGCCTGAATATAGAAGTGGTTTACCCATACAGAAGCAATCGCAAATGTCATTGATAAAAACTAAAAAGATCAAAAATATTTAAGACACTACTATTTCAACATTATTTCCATCGAACATTCGAAATCTCATTCTATCATTTCCTAGTTAAATCTGTCAGATTGTCCTAATCTCGTACTTGTGTCAGTGGTATTTATTGTTGATTGTTTTAATTAATAAATGTAATTGGATTCTACTTGTTTACTAAGTCATTGACTTACATTTTTACGAGCTGGTACCTTTTCCAAAACACAGAGAATAACTTGATAAATTCAAAATGGGCTACAGAAAACGTAACAATTTCGCTTATCAATATTTATAACAGCTTATTTTTACACTAATGCAAACCAACAAAATGACTATGCCTTTGAACGTTATATTGTCAAAAATAATTTTTAATGAATACTACAAATATAAATTTTGTAACACAAGTTACATTCACTCTGATGGAGTTTTTTTCTCTGAGGTGGATTGTTTGGTCGTGGAGCTGAACGATATCATCAGCACAAACTTCAGGTACTTCGGATACTCACAACTCACAAAATATGCTTTCGAATGTTCTCATCATATTCACTGTTTGTTCTCCCTCTCCCCATCTCTATCTATCTCTCTCTCTTCCTACATTGATTGAAGTATTGTTTATAAAATGAATTCTTTTTTTTAAAAATTTCCTTTTCATAATACTTCGTCCTAAAACTGACCTTGTTTCCCTTTTTTTTTCTAACAAAATCTTTTTTTTCAAAAAAAAAAAGAAAAAGACTCTTCTTCTTTTATTACTAATTGAATTACATGTTATCTTAATAAATAAATAAAAAGTTTGTTTTTGTTTTTTCAAAAGAAGTGTATTAACTGTGAAAAAATGGAAAAACAGAAATCACTTGACGCTTATTTTCTCCTTTCAAGTCAACTGTAAGGTCACTAATGTTATTCGTAACATTGTTTGTAAATCCATTATAATTAGAATATGTTTTAAACATGTAGATTAAAAAGAAAATAATATTTCACTACGAAGTGTTACCTTATTGAAAGAAGATGATTAGCTTTATTGATTTGAATTTATTGTATTTATCAGAAATCAATATGTTATATTTTTTTCTGATTAGACTTGTCTACACAAAATATTTAATATTCACTGGCTAGATACTATCAGCAACAGCGTTTTATGAGAGAGGATAAACTAGTTTACAGCTAAAGAAGAAATTAGACAAAAATGTTGAATTGGATAGGACATACATTAAGGAAATCATCAAACTGCATCACGAGGCAATCCGTAATTTGAAATCCGAAAAAGAATCGGAAAAGAGGAAGGAACACATTATGTCAGGAAATAGAAGCAGATATGAAAAGGATGAATGTTAACTGGAAAGAACTGGAAAGAATTGCCCGAGACAGGGTTGGATGGAGAATTCTAACTTATTAGTTGTTATTGAACAGGATATGATCTACCCGGCTTTTGTAGTACGTCATTCTACTAATTTTTACAGTTTTATTTCTAACAAGGCTTAATCTCACTAGCCACAAATTGCTTTTAGAACGATGAAAATTTTATCCCGAAGCAAGTAGTTAACGAGCACATAACATGACGTTCGATATGGTTTGACGCACATATATATATATATATGCCAGGCAATATCGAGACAATAGGATGCACAAATGTCAATAACAGACTGATCAATTTCAATCCTAAACAATACCAAGTGAAAAAAGAACATGATTCTTTTATTCACAAATATTCTTTTTACCTTTCATCATTTCATAATTAATCTACATGAAATCTAAAAATGCATAACAATGTAACTCTTCAAAATTTTTTTTCTAAGTTGATAATCTGTTGTAAAAGTACTTTTCATCTTTTATCTTGATTTAATCAATTTAACCCCTCCCTAAAATATACCCTTCTTTGAATAACTTTCAACAGATCTATTCTGTTAGTAACTAATATGAACATTTCGTGGAAAAAAACTATTAAAATATCAATATAAGGAAGAAAAAAAACATTTTCGTCACTTAAATTGCTATTCAATAATCAACGAAATGGAATTTGACCAGTATCACTATTCTGAAATAGACTGTTAAAATAAGTTTGACAATTCGGATTGTTTGACAATTTTTGTTTGTATGTTTTTTTGGTTTTTTTAAAAAAAAAATTATTTTCGTAGCTTATGAAAATGAAAATTGACATTTTTACATGTATCACATAATGTAGTTTGTAATCTTTATGTTAAAGTTGGACAAAAATTCAGTCATCATCATCGTCGTTGCCGTCGTTGTTGTTGTCATCATAGATGTTTATTCGTTTTATTTTGCTTCATTAAACTGATACATAATATTTGGTAAAAATTTACATTGACTTTATTTACGTATTAAAAGAAACATAGTATCAGACATTGTAAGCAAAGATGGATAGTTGCAAGCAGTGGAATCCAGGACGCGCGTTTCCTTCTATTTGGGAAGTGTGAGATGGATTTACCTGCATCTAAGGGTTGATATTTATGTTGGAACTCGAATCTTGTACCATTCATTTCAAACGTCATCGCGTTATTCACTCAGCTAAGCGCGTCCTGGATTCCACTGCTAGCCACTATCCATCTTTGCATATAGTGCTTGTAAATTAAGGCTATATCGAGGCAATACGCACAGTATGCATATATGTCAATTCGAAACTGACCAGTTGCAGTCCTAAACATCAATGGGAAGATTCAAACAAAACAATACTAAGTGAATTTATGCAAATTATGTTTGTAATGTTTGATTTTCATATTTAGTGAAAGTAAATTTTAACTTTGTATTAAACATTAAATTGATTGTCCCCACCAAGTTTTCATCCACTACTTAATAAACCATCGAACTACTTTGAAGTTTGTTACTATGCTTAAACATTTATAACTAAATGTGTACATAAGAACCTATTCGTACAATACATATTTTTACCCTTAATATAAAATAATGAATATCATAAATTTCTTATATCAGTCACATTTTAAATACTGTATGTATGAATGATTCACTGGAAAAACTTCCCGCATGTTTGCATGAATAATTAGTCTGCTGTACTACAACGTGTCTTGAAAATCTTAAGCTTCTTTTTGTACGCATCTATTTTGAAACAAATTTTTAAAATATTCTGAAATATGCTTTATTTTACATGGGTGATTTCCCAACTTATCACTTAGTATTCAGCTTTCTTATGAAGATACTTTACTCAATATGAAATTAGTCATGATAATTAATAGCTAAGTGATAGACATTCAAATACATTTTCATCAGCTTTAAACTTAAATAGAATTCAGTTTATAACTTTAAATATTTGATAATTTTTAATTATGTTCTCAATCTAACTAACGTTTTCCCATGTACTTGAACTTATTTCCCCTCAGTATTGTGAGATTTTCTGCCGACCATACTTCTTTGGAACATTCTGCTGCTTAACACTTAAAATACCTCTAGTATTAAATTATATTGATTGTATTTGCATTTAAGATCTGAACATAAAAGATCACAGTGGTCAGCTGGGATGAACATTGTTTTATTGTATTAATTTATTTACATCGTTTTATTCTCAGTAATAGGATGAAATTTAACATAAGTAATTTATCGTTATTAATATTGGAATCCAGAATGAAATATCATTTAAAATACAGAAGGATTTAGTTTTAATTTGACCAAGTATTGGGAAAATCCAAATGTACTTTTGACGTATAATCATCTTTAATCTAAGGTTCTTATGAGGGAAACGAATATCTATTACCTTTAATATAGTTGTTGAAGACTACACTTACGCTCCAAAATCCCGTAAATTTAATTAAAAACATACATAGTAGAGGAAATATGATGTATTTTTCAAAAGTAATTTTAAGAAAATTAATTCAATATACATTGGGGAATACATGAACAACGAAAGTTTCAGCGGTTTCTTAGTATCATTATTTACAGTTATGTATATTAAGAGTTTCTAAGTGTGATGTCTTTGATATCATCCAAGAAATCACTGATAAGTTTTATAATGACTTTATATATAAATAATACACTGAGATTGATATATCTGTTGGCATGAAGTTTGATAAAGATTGTCTAGAATGAAGAAAGTAATACTGTATAGATAAACAAATAAAATACCTATTCAATTCATATTCTTCTGGTGTTAAGATGTGTTCATTTAAATAATTACATTATGTTTTATGTTTTCAGGTTATTAACCATTGATAACATGAACATTTGTATATACATGAAAGAATGAAACCTGAAAAAATAAATGAAACATTTACTTTAAATGGCATTGAAGGATTGTAATCATTTTTGTCTGTTTGTTTGTTATTATAATCATTGAAATAGGGATAAAAAAACAGTTGAATAATCTTATAGTTGAAATCATGAGTCAATGGAAGATAGGCCACAATGAAATACCTGGAAGTAATGGACAGCCGTGGGACTCCTCAACATTGAGCATCCACGATCCCGGCTCGCGAGATTGGAACTCAATTTCGTGGGTTGGTTGAAATTAGACATTAACACCGTTGGATGACAGCTCAGTGGTCTAGAGGTTAAGCGCTCGCGCGCAAGACTAATAGGCAATGAGTTAGAATCTCGTGAGACAGGATCGCGGATGTGCACTGGTAAGGATTCCCACAATAGGATCAAGTGGCCGTCTAGTGCTTCCAGGTTTTTCATAGTGGTTTAGCCTTCTGATAATTGAATAATCCTTCTCATCATCAAAACTTTTACTTCTTTATTCCATGAAACAAAAAAAATATTTGTACATGTCTAAAGCATTTCATTGATCAATGAAAATAGATATTTTTTTTGTTTTAGACATTGTTTCATCGTAAAGAAGAACTTTTTTTCACCTGGGAAAAAGTTACAACAAATATGCACTTCTATTTCATTCATTACATTTATTGTCTTCATCATTCATATTACAAAATGTATTATCATTCAGATTTGTCTATTATTACAAATCATATATGGTTAAAATAAGTCTTTATTAATGAAGCCAGTTGTACTTTAAAAAATGTACTATAAAGACATATTGTCATTTTACTTATGAATATTTATTTACTGCCAAGTTCTTTTTTTTCTTTTTCTTCGAGTTTTTCATCCATGTATATTAGATTTTATACTACGAATAATTTAGTAGTTAAGTGAACATAATTTATTTATTTTTATTTTTTTTTTTTGAAGTTTTCCCGACATTTAGTTTTTATTTTAGACATATGAAAGTGTAATGTTAAAGTATAAATACATATATCTGATTACAGTCTAATTAAACCAGTTTACACAGATATTTTTAATTTTTTTAACAATTTTTTTAACTAGATACTAATTTATTCATTAGTCATTTTGATTATAAAACAGTTGGTAGACTGTTTTAATGTTTCACAAAAAGAAAAAAAAACCATTGGTAGATGTGTCGCTCAATTTCGTGAATCAGTTGAAGTTCGACATTAACACCGTTGGATGCTAGCTCAGTGGTCTAGTGGTTAAATGCTCGTGCGCAAAAATGATAGGTCCTATGTTCGAATCTCGCGGGGCGGGATCGTGGATGCGCACTGCTGAGGAGTCCCACAATAGGATGAAAGGGCCATCCAGTGTTTTTAGGTTTTCTGTGATGGTCTAGATTCAATTAATTCGTGATTTCAACTATTAAAATTATTATGTTTCTTCTGTTGATAGGACGATTTATATTATAACACAAGACAATCTTTTAGTCATAAATCTTTTGGAGAAAAATAAAAGATTGAATAGAAATCAAGTCGTAAATCACATACCTATTCAACGGTAAATTTGAACATTTAATGTTTATCGGATATCTTTCAACTGTTGGCAATTTAAACAATTTATTTATTTATTTGAACACATAAATATTGGTACAAGAAGGCACCAGATATATATGCGCTACACTAAAAATTGTCATTTCATTTAATTCTGAAAGGGCTATGATACTGTCCAGTTTCAGAGACCGAAGCAGGTGGTTTTCTTAGGGGGCCACACCCCAAGCCTTTGACCCAAAGATCTGATCACCAAGGCAGTTGAGAATCGCGAGGAGATGTAGTCCGATGATAGCCGGTGACCAGCGATTGGTTCATACGTCATTTATTCCATCAGGATACTGGAGCCCATGTGCACCATTGGTTTGAAATCAGGGTTTTCCAACTCCCCTAGATGGACACACCACATCCACCAACCCGGTTAAATCTACGGACATCCTCTTTTCATCCTCTCAATTTCGTAAACAACACCCCCGTCTCGAGGAGGCAGTGGGTAGGACTTCCCTGGCAGATGCTGTATACGCCTTGCCATGTGAGAGCATTTCGAGAGAGAGAGAGAGAGCAGGCCCTCACCACTCTCGACTGTACCAGGGCATTCGGTCAAAACTCATTTCAGTGTCAAGTCAATGAATATAATATTCTTTTCAGTTTGTTTGTTTTTTTCGGTTGAAATTATGGATGTGAAAACCAAGAATCAATTGTTTGATTATACATAGAAATTGTTCTGGAAATTACATGTTAAGTTTGTTAATTTTGGTAATAATTTCAATGGTATGAATTAACTACATTCACCTTTATTCAAGAAAAACTTTCATCTAGTTCATGACGACGCCAACTTACTATTAGACGATCTTATGTCATAAAAATGTTTGATCAAATAAATATTTTCCCTACAATGTTTTTTCACATGGTGACATTATACTATTCTTAAGTCCACATTCCATTGTGTGACTGAATAGTATAAAAAATATAAGAAGTTGACTATCGAGGCATTTATGATCATACAAAGAATGCAAGCATAAACTAACATTCACTTTAATAGATACATATTTTATCCTTAACACTGAACTAAGATAGTGTGAACAAATCATAAACATTAAAACATCGAATACGTCACCCAAAACTATCACTTCTGCAGTATCTGAATCCTGATTTGGAGAGTCTTTTTACTCATTACCTAGTAAGAGATGTAAACATTCCTAGGTAATTTCTAGTATAATATCAGATAGTCTATGTAATACACTTTCACTTACATTTTATTTCTGAAGCAAAGCCATATTGATGTTTTATGGTAATTGGATTTTCCATAGTTGATTATTGAATAGTTCCATCATTCGGATAAGCTTTTAAACTAAATTTTCGTTGTGTTTCATCAAAATAGTTTGACCTTGCATCATATGAATATTTTAAATCTGTCTCATCTGTTAGATTCATCATTTTCATATATTGACATGAAGGGATATATATTTCAATCTTTTGATGATCCATTAGATCATTATGTCGGTTCATATTAATTGTATTTATACCCCCTTGATTATTATTATTATCATTATTATAATCCCAATATTCTGTTGATATGTTCCTATTAGAACATTTATCTAACATTGAATCTTGGTGAGGAGATGATAATAGTCTACCATTTGGATAGTTTATTAATTCTAAACTTGTTTGACCTCCAATACTAGAAAACTGTGATAAGCAATCAGGTATTGAATGAACCACTGAAATAAATTTAAGTAGAAAAATAATATAGAGAGATGAGAAGAAATATTTCAACAACAAAAAATGCAGTTCTAAATCAAAAGTAGATGACATTTACAAAGGTTCCAATACACTTACTATTGTTCGTTTAAATCTTCCCATTGATGTTTAAGACTTCAACTGGTCAGTCTGTAATTGGCCATATGTGCATACTGTGCGTATTGCCTCTATATAGCCTTAATTTACAAGCACTATAAGCATATACGCAAATAACAGACTTATCAATTACAGCCTTAAACATCAATGGGAAGATTCAAACAAACAATAGCAAGTGAATTTTAAATTCACATCATTGCACAAGCAAGTGGCTATCAGGGCTTGATAGCTGAGTGGATAACGCGATGGCGTTTGCAGCGAAAGGTGTTGGGTTCGAGTCTAGGAGTGAACATAAACTCTGAGATGCAGGTAAATTCAACTGACTCGTCCTAAATAGGATGAATTGCGCTTCCTGAATTCCACTGTTAGCCACTATCCTTTTTTGTTTGGAGGTTTCAATAGTTATTGCCATTTAATCTACTTGTTTTAGTATCCATTTCACATATTCTTGTGAATTAGCATAATTTAAAGTATTGTGAAATGGACTCTTTATATGATTATATAGTATTCACTTTTGCTTCTTGAACAGTACATACTTTTTAAGTTTTCCTATGTCCTTTATATCGTATAACTTAAGACCTGGGTATTTATGTTTATGTAAAAAACTTTTAAATCATAGATTGTATAATCTCCAAATTACACATTGTGCTAATGACTAATCCGTCACAAAATGTTACGAGTATGAATGTGTATCATATATCAAACATAAGGTGGTATATAGACTTTCTTAATTTTCTATTTATGAAATCATGTATTTACATATTTTGAAAAGTTATTTCAATTAGATCGTCCAACAGTTATCATGTTCGAAATAATAAATTCAGAAGCTTTTGATGAACAATAATTTAAGTATCTACAATCTGTAAGCACTTACGAATTCTAAAATGCAATACAATATCATTTAATCTATTCAATAGCCTTGATCTCACCATAAAGTAGTATGTATATCACCCGATATCATGAATCCGTCCGCTTTAGTTTACAAGTAGTTACATTAACAAAAACAGACAAAATATCAAGTTTTAAATAAAACAATGTTAGAAAATCATTTGACCTTACCTCGGTAACTATTAGATAGTCTAGAAAAATCATAATTTTGTGATTGATCTATTTTTGACCAATTTGACGGTGAATTTATCATCGTTGTTGTACAATGATTATTTGTATGATTATTATCTACTTTATGACTTACATCATGAAGTACATTATTTCTTTTAGAACGTCGTAGAAATATCAATACTGAAGATATTAATATAGTTGATATAATACAAGAGGATACAATAATTGCTATAACAATATAAAAATTTAATTTATATCCACTTGACCCATAACTACTGAATTCATCATCATTATCATTATTATTTAAATGATAAAGATTCATAGAAAGATAAGCTTTTGATGGGGAATTATCAATTTCTATAATTAAATCAGTTTTAGTAAAATGATATGGTTGTCCACAATCTCTTGCTTCTATTTTTAAAATTAGTTCACCTATTGCAGTATATGGAATTTCTTTAATAATACTGAGTGTTCCAGTATTCTTATCTAATGTAAAATAATTTTGATCATTTCCAGATTGTATAAAATAGATGACTGTACCATTTTCGCCGGCATCATCGTCAACAGCTTGTATCTGAAAATAGTAAATGTTCAATGACAAGAATAAGGAAAGCAACCAAGTAATAATTATTTAAATTTTAATATACACAATGATGTTGAATTGAATGTAAATGTTTGAAACTATCGAAATAGTTTAAATTCATTTAGTATTTTTCATAGCTGAAAGCATCAGTCAATTGAAGTTAGACCACCATGGAAAACCTGGAAACACTGGACGACCGTTTCGTCCTATTATGGGACTCCTCAGCAATGCGCACCCACGAACCCGCGCTCGCAAGCGAGATTCGAACCCAGGACCTATCACTCTCTAGCCAGAGCACTTAACCGATAGACCACTGAGCTAGCATCCAACGGTGTTAATGTCTAACTTCAACTGATCCACGAAGTTGAGCAACCATTCACCAATTGTCATCAGTGAGTTTCTATCTCACGACAGACGTGGTTTGCACTCCACTGGTCACTGGTTCTCACTAGAGCTCCTGGATGTACTTCCTGAAGTCATATTATATTAAATATCAGAAGGGGTTTTGTGGAGATCTAGTATATTTCATAGTTGAAAACATGAGTCAATTGAAGCTAGACCACCATGGAAAGCCTGTTTGTTTGAATCTTCCCATTGATGTTTAGGACTGCAACTGGTCAGTCTCTAATTGGCATATGTGCATACTGTGTGTATTGCCTCGATATAGCCTTAATAATTGTAGGCAGAAGCTTAGCTATTTACTGTACAAAACATGAATTAAGCATTGAATAATGTCTTTCGTCACGTAATTCATTTGAGGAATAGCTCTATTTTGCATATTCAGTCAAAATGTTTTTTTAGTTATATAAATACTGGAATTTAAGACATGGTTGTGTGAGTTACAAGCACTATTTATTTGACAAAACAATTCTAGTTCAAATAAAGATGGTTATTAGGTACTCTACACCTGTTCACATAATTTACTAAGTAATTTGATTTATACTCTATGATCTATCATTGTAAACACTTCTACAGGGTGTCTGTCATGACTCTAAAAGGTTATTAGTAATGTCTTAGATATAAAGCTGAGTGATTCAGGTTCCTATCCTTTGAGGACTACTAATTATTTCATGACTTCATGTGTCTTCGTGACAACTGCGTACTAGTAAAATACGTATAACTTGAGCTTCTTATTAACTATCTTTAACTATCTAACATAATAAATATGTATTCAGGATCAATCAAATATGTTTTATGATGTAAGTTATAAACAATTAGGTCTCAAAACTAAAATTATTTCATCAGGTATTGACCAAAAATAAAATATGAACTTCAACTTGGTACATTTAACTACAAGTTTCAATGTGAAGATCGTTACAAGAATGCATATAACATATAGGTAGGAATGTACGTTTTGAATTCTGTTGCCCGTTGCAATCCGTATATCCTATAAAATATACTTAGTCATATATTTGTGTTCATTTGTTAGTAATGGTAAAAAGCATGATATCAGTTACTATGATATTTTTCATATTTTTATAATAACGTACAACATATTTCCTATTGTCAATCTACTGTTGGTTATAAAGTTGTGCAATACATGTTGGTGGTTTGCCTTCAAGATAATTCCTTCAGCTTTGTCTATCAATAACTCTCATAAACGGTGTATGAATTCAGTTGGAAACACGAAGTGCCGACTACAGTTTATTATTGTTCAGCATAGGTAACAAATTTACAAACACATTGAAAGAATTTGATTGGAGAATAATGCGCACGAGCCAGAGAATACTGAGGTGAATTCAGAGTTAAGTCAAATAGAACCGAAGCGAAATAATTAATAAGATTCAAGTGAATGGTTCATTGAGCTATTTTTAGGTGACTAATGTTTAGGGTAGAGTCAGGAATATGCGCTTAGGCTGTCACATATGATCAAGCACACATAATAATAACACAAAGAAATAGATATATATTGTTATTGTTAGAATAATACTGCTTATTAAATAAGTTACTTCATGAGCTTAAATAAATTAACAGTCAACAAAATTAATTGTAAGAGAGGTACCATAACAGTACTCAAGAATTTATGGGTAGATAAGTGAAGTTGTGAAAAATCAAAAAGAAGCAACTGCTGCTGCTTCATTATGTCATTTGATCTGAAAGTGTTTGTTTGTTAAATACATAACTTATAAACTTTCACATGAAAATTTGTATTAAAAATGGATTGTAGTTATCAGGAGAGGTTCGGTATGAAGAGAGACGCTTAAATGGCCTTTTAATAATCTCCCATTAAATAGATTAAACACTTCTAGTAGGAAATCTATATGAATACTAACAAGATAAGTTAAATTCAATCTTGGGACATGTTTCAATCATCTGTTTTATATAGTATGAGTAGTATAAGTAGTATAGTGTGACAACTTTCATATTCTTTTCTTCGCTTTCCTTAACTCTCTTATATGCATACTTTGACATGTGAATATATGATACAGTTAGTTGTTCAAACTTCATTATTAAAAATAACTCCGTTTCTTCTTCCTTTTTCTTCAAAACTTATTCAAGAAGCAAATTGTCTCAAGAATCTTTTTAATATTTTTTTAATTGGTTGGTTAAAAAAACTTCGATTTTTATGAGATTCCTCCCCATTTTGTTGACAGTTTTTCATTTCTCTTCAGTGAATCAATAAGTTATAGAATCTATTCAACTGAACAAGGAATCAGAAGGGGATTTGTGGAAATTTCGGTATTTTTCAAAGTTGAAATCATGAGTCAATTGAAGCTAGACTACCACCGAAAACCTGGAAGCACTGGACGGCCGTTTCGTCCTATTATGGGACTCCTCAGCACTACGCACCCACGAACCCGCGCTCTCAAGCGAGATTCAAACCCAGGACCTATCAGTCTCGAGCCGAAGCCCTTAACCGATAGACCACTTAGCCGGCATCCAACGGTGTTATTGTCTAACTTCAACTGATCCACGAAGCTGAGCAACCATTCACCAATTGTCATCAGTGAGTTTCTATCTCACGACAGACGTGGTTGAACTCCACTGGCCACTGCTTCCCACCAGAACTCCAGGACATGTAACTTGAAGTCAGTCACTAGTGAGCATATGATTATAATCAGAAGGTGATTTGTGGAGATTTCAGTATTTTTCAAAGTTGAAATCATCAGTCAATTGAAGCTATCTGTTAAGGGCTTCGCCTCGAGACTGGTAGGTCCTGAGTTCGAATCTCGCTAGAGCGGTTTCGTGGATGCGCACTGCTGAGGAGTCCCATAATAGGACGAAACGGCCGTCCAGTACTTTCAGATTTACGATGGTGGTCTGACTTCAATTGACTCATGATTTCAACTTTGAACAAAGAATGTTTATAAAGTCAAAGTGTGTATTTCTTAATGAAGTATAAATAATTTTTCATACATGTCAAATACTTCAAATATTTGGATATTTATTGTTTGTTTAAACTAGTCTCTATGAAATGACATTTCATTATGTTTAACAATACAATCGTAGAAATTGCAGTTAGTTAGTATGTGTAATGATATAAAAGATATAACCATGATTTATTAGACATGAAACGAAAAAATTTAATTATTGATTCAATGGTTTATGATGTGTGCTACAGATATCGATAGATATAAGTAGGATGCATTATCTATCGGATACCTGGCGTCAGAAATTTGAGAAAATTATAGTGAAGAGAATGAGAACAGAAAATGGTTGGTGTGGAAATGAAGGAACAGTCAAATCTGAGACAATAGTGTGTAATTTGTAAATGAAGTATTTACTGTACGTAGGTATCATTACGGAGGTTTGAGTAGATAATTTCAAATGAATTGAGCATTGGGTAGATTGTTATAAATAAATAATATATTTGTAAAATCCCAATAAGTAGAAAAATTAAATTTTTCGACGTTTTGTGACTTAGTGTAAGCTACTTCTTTAGAGAATGAAAAACCAAATCAAAATTAACCCAATTTTAAATAGTACAATGGAACAACATTCATTGGGATAATACAAACATATTATTTATTTATTTGATGTATGGTACTCAGATTGTAGTAAAACATCCTGTAGTTTTGTGTTCAAATACATTTGGTTGTATTCCTTTGATGTTCTCGTTCACTACAGGTCGAATGGATGATTCGTTTCAGCAATAAATTATATTTTGAAGATATGAAATTTTACTATTCGGTCGGTTAACTAATACGTAAATAATGAGAAATATAATTCATTGTAAACAAAGATGGATAGTGGCTAGCAGTGGAATCCAGGACGCGCGTTTCGTCCTATTTGAGACTTGTCAGTTGGATGTACCTGAATCTCAGAGTTGACGTTCATTCCAAGACTCGAACCCAGTACCTTTCGCTTCAAACGTCATCTCGTTTTCCACTTAGCTAGTGTGTCCTGATAGCCACTTGCTTGTGTAATAGGGTGAAGTTTAAATTCACTTGGTATTGTGCATACATATACCAATAAGACTGATCGATTACAGTCCTAAACATCAATGGGAAGATTCAAACAAGTAATACTAAGTGAATTTAAATATAATTCATGTTATATATTAATGAGCTTTCTTGAAACCATTAACTATTTGGTACTAATTAGTTCAATATGTCATTTAGTTGTGTGCGGAAATTAATTTCTACTGATATATTATAATATTTAATATCACTAGATTAAATTAATCATGTCTTAGTGAATTAATTTAACTTAATATACAAATCTTTAAATATAAGGAAACATTATAAAGTGTATTCAACTTTTTTGATTGAGATCATGAATCAATTGGTTAGGCCGCCATTGAAAACTTAGAAGCATTAGACGGCTGTTTCATACTATTATGAGACTACTTAGCAGTTAGCTCGCGGGATTCAAACCCGGGGCCTTCAGTCTCGCGCGCGAACGTCTAACCTCTGGACTTCTGAGCCGGCATCCAATGGTGTTAATGTCTAAACTCAATCGATCCACGGAATTGTGCGACAATCTTCCATTGTACTGAGGTAGATACTTGTCGCTACTTGACATGGATTAGCTCCACTGGTCACGGCTTC